TCATCATCATCATCAGACGAGGCAGAGGAAACGGAAATTAGGTTTCGTGACAGAAGACCCGGGGATTAGCCAAAGGTACTAGACTTCACTGGTCCTCCAAGTGGAATCAACAAATCAGCTGCTCCCAATATAAATGCACAGTCCTCTCCTTTTTCCATTTTCATTCTGTTTTTCCAACAAATATTCCAAATCTTGTTACAAGAAACCAACAGATATTTCCACCAATTTATGGCATGCCAAGATGCTCCAGGCCCTTCTGTTCAACCGCCTGACATTACAATTGAAGAGATATATAACTTTTTGGCAATAATTATTCAAATGGGCCAAGATCAATGGGACACCCTCAAAGATTATTGGTCAAGAGATGAGCAATACTACACTCCATTCTACCGCAACACAATGGTACGAGACCGTTTCTTCCATATTTTGAGATTCCTACATTTTGAAAATAATGAAGCTCCTCCCAATCGATATGACCCAGAGTATGATAGGTTCTGGAAAATTAGAAAAATTTTTGACAATCTCAACAACAAATTTTGTGAACTTTACAATCCAGCGGAATGTCTTGCTGTTGATGAAGTCATAGTGTTGTTCAAAGGAAGAGTGATTTTTCGTCAGTATATTCCAAAGAAACGCAAAAGATTTGGCATAAAAATTTACAAGCTTTGTGATTTTGGGGGTATACTTATGACACGACAGTTTATTTGGGCAAACAACGGCAACTTGCGACAGAAGAAATTACAAGGACACATGGCAATGTTCTCCAGCTAATTCAAAGAGTAGAAGGCTTGGGACACAAAATTTACATGGACAATTATTTCAGTTCTCCTGCTTTATTTTACGATCCTTTAGACAGGAAAATAAATTCATTTGGCACCGTTCGCAATAATAGGCGTGGAATGCCACAAGAAATTCGGCCCAAGTCAATAAAATTGAAAAAAAAAAGGGGATGTTGTTACAAGAGTCAAGGGTCATCTAAGTGTTGTTCGTTGGAAAGACAAGCGTGATGTGTATGTTCTGACAAATTTGCACCCTCCTCCTTTGGAAGGCAACTTCCGAGATGAATCTGGCCACGCTGTCAAAACCCATGTAACTGAAGACTACAATGCACACATGGGCTTTGTTGATAAATCTGACAGGATGGTAAACAGTTATGGCATTCCTAGGAGGACATGGAAGTGGACAAAGAAATTGTTATTCCACCTTCTAGATATGACTATTCTAAATGCATATCTATTATGCAAGTCATGTGGTGGAAAAATGACACACAAAAATTCTGCAAAATATTGGTGCAGGATTTGAGTCTTCAGTCACATGAGGTGAATATCACACACTCAGTGGCATTTCTCGGGGGAGGCCAAGTTCATCTGGGGCCCAACTGCGTCGACTGGAGGTGAAACATTCACAACACTGGCCAACCAAAGGAAAACAAAGACATCGTATTTGTTCTCCAAATAAGAAGCGCAGAAGCACACTCTACTACTGTAAAAAGTGTGACGTTGCGCTATGTGTCGTGGACTGCTCCAAGAAGTGACACGCGGGTCAGAGTATGAGTTATCGTAAACTGTGAAGTGACGCAGTTCAAACTCACGTACAGTCTGAACAAAATATTATTGTATATAGTGTGATTATATTTACAATATCACCATGAATCAAGGTTGAAGAAAAATCAATGGGTAAGTCCTTTGTAATTTCATAACATATATAATAAAGATTATATTTTGCATTTCATGACAAAATAATCACAGTTAATTTTCATTTGTAAAACTTGCTCTTTTATGTATATGTAGAAAATTTTATTGTCTTTCAGGTTCTTTTTAGTTCATATTTCTATGTTGCATAGAACGGAAAATATGCATTTTTTTCTGAAAGTTTGCAATGATAATTAATTAGGGTGATTTAAATTCTGGCCATACAGTGCTGCTGGCAATTTAAAAGTCTGTAGGTTAGAGGTTAAAATGGGCAATGTCCTGACCCATTCAAACTCAGAAAATATGGATCTAGGGTGCTACTACTATGCTTACCTAATGGCCAATGACACTGGCAAAAATACAACAAGGTCCAGAGCTAAGAATGAGCCATTGATAGAAATGGAAAATAAATGGTATCCTGTTGAGCTGAAAAGATCCTAGCTTGTAGGAAACCAGAGGCTCAGACTGCACATCAGAAATTGGTGAAAGATTACAGTTGAATATAAGAAAAAAAAATTCTATGGAAGTAGATAATAAGGCAATCAATATATTGCTAATAGCCACAAAAACACTTGTTACAACCAAGAGGGTAATGTACATAATCCCTTTAATGACAAAATGTGTATGTATAATATAAATATATACATGACATTTATGATTGTGACAAAGGATTGTTGAGCAAGTAAATACAGTAAAATCCCAAAATACACTTCCTTTGGGGAGTTGTGGGAGAACCAGACACTGAACTGAGGGAAATCTAAAATGGAAGCAACTTAACGCTATCATAATGTGCTTGGAATTACTAACCTGAATATTTTTTGTATTGCTAGTGGGGTGGGACTAAGTCCCTTGTACTGCGGCCACTTCTGGCCTATTGTACCAGCCCCAGATGATAGGTGGGGATGATTGTGGAGCAACTGGTGGAATGAAGATTGGCAGGGGAAACCGAAGTACTCGGAGAAAACCTGCACCAGTGCCACTTTGTCCACCACAAATCCCACTTGACCAGACCCGGGATCAAACCCAGGCTGCCGCAGTGGGAAGCCAGCAACTAACCGCTTGAGCTATGGCATGGCCCAAACCAAATATTACTTACTTACTTACTTACTTACTTACTCATGGAGCTGAGCCCTTCTGAAGGAGCTGCTGCCAATTCTGCAGCTACTCAAGGATTTCCCAGCCTTTTATGGAACCCGAAGGTTCATTACCATGTTCACGAGAGCCCTCCACTGGTCCCTATCCTGCACCAGATCAATCCAATCCATACCGTCCCATCTCTCTAAGATCCATTTTAATATTGTCCACCTACCTATGCCTCGGTCTTCCCAGTGACTCATTCCTTCTGGCTTTCCCACCAGTATCCAATACGCATTCCTCGTCTCCCTCATTCGTGCTACATGCCCTGCCCACCTCATCCTCCTTGACTTGATCATTCTAATTATACTTGGAGAAGAGTACAAGCTATGAAGCTCCTCACTGCGTAGTTTTCTCCAACCTCCTGTCACTTCATCTCTCTTCGGTCCAAATATTCTCCTCAACACCCTCAGTCTATGTTCCTCCCTTAATGTCAGAGACCAAGTTTCACACTCATACAGAACCAAAGGCAAAATTATAGTTTTGTATATTCTAATATTTATATTTTTGGGCTGCAGACGAGAAGACAAAAGGTTCTAGACTGAAGAGCAAAAACCTTAAACTGGGGTTCACCTGTAATTTTTGATGTATTAATAATTTCTTATTCTGAGAACCACACAGAACAATTAAATACACTGTGTAGGGAGTGGTGCAGGTAGGACACATAGCAGGCACATTGTCCTGTTTTCAAATACTTCAGAAAAAGGGACAATGTCCAGTATAACATCCATGTCACTTACCATAACTGGCCTTGCTTCAGCATCTCTTGTAGCTTTTTCTTCTTCTAATGTTTTATGAGCTTCACGAGCCTCAAGCAATGCACGACTAAACATCCCCTCCATGTATGATTTGCGATTGGTGCTGTGTCCAGTGTCCTATGACAGAACTCACATCATTAATGGCAACCCAATCAATTACACACTTGCTCATAGCTCACAGTCATATTTACCCCTTCCTGATATAAGAAGACCCTGCCTCGGTTCACCCAGTAATAATCATGGGAACCAAAGAATCTAACAGCAAACTCTCCGCGTACATGGGGCAGATTCTGGATGTTCTCAGGAATCTGACTTGGATACAAAATCTGAGCTGGCCACCATCTGAAAGATAATATTTCTGATAATGGTCTAGTATTTTCACAAGCAGAGCTTGAAAAATAATAAAAGTCCTTCTTTCCAAACTAAAAATTAATTTTCCACCCCTAGACATTCTCAAACAAACTACGTTAGTGTGTAAGATCAAGGTTTTCATGTTGGTGAAAATTCTTATTGTGATCGTCTAGGTTACTGGAGTCTGTGATGGGTAGGCAGGTACCTGTAATGTAGCCAGCATAATATGATTGCAAAAAATTACAACAATAAGAAGCATAACTGTGATGGAAATGTAAGATCTGGCATTCTTTGTACAAGCATTCACCACACCCACAACATAGTATTGTCAGAAAGCAGAATGTGGCCCATCTCAGGATCCACATCATGTACCTTAACATACTGACAACATCAATCAGAGATTATGACTTTATATCCAAATTAATTATAACTAACTTCATGGAGCCGAGCCCTTCTCAAGAAGCTGCCAGTTGTGCAGCTACTCAAGAACTTCCCAGCATTTTATGGAACCTGAAGGTTCATTACCGTGTTCACAAGAGCCCTCCACTGGTCCTTATGCTGAGCCAGATCAATACAGCTCATACCACCCCATCCTATCTCCCTAAGATCCATTTTAATATTATCCTCCCACCTATTTCTTGGTCTTCCTAGTGGTCTCTTTCCTTTCGGCTTTCCATCCTATATCTTATGTGTGTTCCTCTTTTCCTCATTTGTGTCTACATGTCCCCGCCCATTTCATCCTCCTTGACTTGATCATTCTAATTATACTTGGCACAGAGTACAAGTTATGAAGCTCTGCATTATGCAGTTTTCCCCAACCTCCTGTCACTTCATCTCTCTTCAATCCAAATATTCTCAACACCCTGTTCTCAAACACCCTCAGTCTATGTTCCTCCCTTAATGTCAGAGACCAAGCTTCACACCCATACAGAATCACAGGCAAAATCATAGTTTTGTATATTCAAATTTTTATGTTCTTGGGCAGCAGCCAAGAAGAATTAATTATATATACATAAAGTAGATTCAGTTAGTACAAACAACTGACAGCTATTTAACTATTCTTTAACAGCAGAAGATTTCTCATCTTGAAACAGCCTCAGGCTCTAATGTAAACAATTATAAATGCTGAAACTGACCTGTATGCTCCAAGCTTTACCCAAACAATTTCACCATACAACGGGAACCTTCCTGTGTCACAGTCTTCACAGATAAAGCTACCTTCTGGAGGTGATAATCGCAGACACTCAGCATGAAATGAAGTTGGACATAAGTCACAGCATATAAGAGAACCTCCTGTCAAAGAAATCAGTTATGCTTCTGAATCCATCAATACATTGTTTTGTTGTTTATTTATTCATGGTTTACTTAATGATGTATCTCAGGCTGGATGGCATTGAATGAAGCAAGGCTTTAACAAATACTGAATTGGAAAGGTGTAGAAGTGACCACAGCAACAAGCTTTTGACTTGAAGGAACGAGGAAAATCAACAAATATCTCATTCACAATAACACATGAACCAGTTGAGATTTGAAGTGGATCATTCCATGCCAAATCAACACAGCTCACAACCTAACCTACTGTCATTTTAGCGAAATTTTCATCACATGCTATAACCCATTAGAAATTAAAGTGTGCAAACTTCCATACCTCTAGCTCAATTATTTCAGGAGTTACTGCTGTCTTTGAATGCTTTAAAGACTGGGGAAATTTGCCCCATGAGTGATAATGAATATGACGATTATAATACCGGCCCTATCTGACATACACAGCTCAAGCTAGGCTTGTTTAAAGATGTGCTTTCAAACGGTCCATGATAGAACTGCAATACCATTTTAAAACGATTCAATCATTAACTTTAAAACATAACATTGAATTATTCAATGAATTATGTAATTTTTAAAATTGTGATGAAGGAAAATGATAAGGTTAATACCCGCCTGACATGGAACGTAAGATTGAAGATGGGACTCTCAAAATATTTAAAGGAATTTATAATTCTGTTATGAATGATGAGTGATATATGTTGATCCTGCTCACACTATCTGAAATATCAGAGACTTTCTACTCTGAAACCATGTACTTTCAAACAGTGCATCATATTTGAGAGGCACGTGACTTCAACACATGTTTTAATGAAGTAAAAAACTTACCCATAGCACAAATAAAACACCAAGCTGCATTAACATGGTAAGTCCTTTTCTGTGGAGGTTCATAATGTTTGGGGCAAATGATCTGTGTTCCTGTCAGCACCTCTGATCCAGCCGGAAGGCAGTAATTTCCTGGTTTTGATCAGACAGAAATTAGTAACCAGTTAAGATTATGGCCTTTTGTGATATGACACCATGAAGTTCAGTAGAAAAGTACACTTTACTCTCAATTATCTGGGGACAGATAAACCGGTTTGTGGCTTAACCGGGGCTTTTTTTTTTTAGGCTTATATGTTGTTTAACCCCTCAAGCATGTGCGACGCACCATATGTGTCCANTTGTTTCACATGGTGAGTTGTAACACTTTTCGCACTAGTGTGAACTTAGCTCTGCATTTTTTGGTCACATTATGCTAACACAATGTTCTAGGGTAGGAGTGAAAGGATTTGTGGAAAGTTTCAAGGACAGATACACCGCCCCAGTTAGTAGTCTCTCTGTATCGATCTTCAAGTGCGTTAGCAAAATGTCAGAGTGTAAAAGGAAGCGTGTTGTGTTAAGTATTCAACAGAAACTTGAAATTATCAATCAGTTGGGAAAAATAGGTATAGTTAAACAATTAGCAATGCAATATGGTACTGGAGAACAAACTGTTTGTGATTTGAAAACACAAAAGAATCAATTAATTTCCTTTGTTTCGTCTTCTAATTCAAGCAGAATGAAGAACAGAAAACCCATGAAAAAATCAACATCTGATGATCTTGACAAAGCAATGCTGATCTGGTTTAATCAACTAAGGGCACAGGTAACAACAATAACAGGAGCAGTTTGTGCTAAACAAGTGACATTTTTTTCCAAAGCACTTGAACTACAAGGAAGTTTTGACACGTCTTCCGGTTGGCTAACATGTTTCAAGTAGTGTCATGGAATATGAGAAAATAGTATTCAAGGTGAGAAATTGTCAGGGGACTTATCATCATCAGTTAAATTTTGCACCAATTTTGATAGTTTCGTGAAAAGTGAAAATCTGCTGCCAGAACAAATCTATAATGCCGATGAAACAGGTCTTTATTGGAAATGCTTGCCAGCCAGAACTTTGGCATTTCAAAATGACAGACAGGCTCCAGGTCACAAATCCAGTAAGGAGAGATTGACAGCCTTGTGCTGTTCTAATGCATCAGGAACACACAAACTAACACCAGTAGTTATCGGCAAAGCGAAAAG